TTTTTTTTCCCCAAAAGGCATGTACAACTACAGGTTAAGACACGCAATCAGGAAGGAGGATTTTATGTCCTATGGAATATGTCCTCTGCGAAAAGGGGGAGATCGGTACTACCGGTGTGTTAGAGTGGTTGAGTTGCTGCCTGCAGACAGTGCAGAGGTAGCACAGGAAGAAAGTTGGGTCGGGAGAAGAATGGATGGAGGCTTGAAAGAGGCTCTTTTCTAAAATAGTTGTCCTCATGTATCATCATCATAGCATCTACCCATTAAGGCCCTGTACTCCAGGCCTACATAAATATTCATCAAGAGGGATGCCTGATTCCACTTCTTCCGAGGCAGGCCAGCCAGCTAAGGGAAGCCCTGGCTTCATGTTACAACTGGGAGACAAATGGTGGGCCCAGAGTCACCTTGAGAGCCTCTGAGAAGGTACTGGACGTCAGGTCAGCGAGTCTTGGCTGAGTGCTTCTATCACAAGGCCCTTCTTCCCATAAGAAACCATGTTTTCCTCTGACAACGTTCTCCTCTGGGATGGCAGCGCTAGGTTAACGGTTGGACGTGATGATCTTAAAGGTCTTTTCCAACCTAGATGATTCTATGATTCTATTCTATGATTCTAACTTTTCTCCTGGAGTGGCTTGAATTTCTCTGGAAGCACATCGCTCAGTTAGAGATGTAACACCAACGGATGGGTACTTTTGGCTCGCTTGTGCTCGTGTTTGCTGCTATTTACAGGTTTGGCAAGGCAGAGGAGTGTGTTGGAATCCTCCTTTTGATGGCAGCCGCTTGGCAAATGGTCTGTGCTTCACATCCCTTCCCAGGGCGAAAGGCTGGGTCTCCATGGAGCAGGAAGCACCTTTAGGAATGCAAGAGGCATAAATGCCCCATAGGGAAACAGTGCCAATGTGTGAGGTCGGTGGGTCCTTGGATGTCCTTGGCCTCCCCTATGCACCTTCTGGAGCTCCTAGCCCCTTAGTGAGCAGTAGGGCTTGGGCAGTCAGCTTATTCCGAGGAATCAGGTACAAGAGTTTGAAACCTGTACCTCATCTCTAGAATTCACTTGGTTGCGCATTTGAAATTGCGTGCAAATGTCATTTGAGTCTCTTGGGTTGTATCGGTGGGTGGCGAGTTTTCGCCGAGACCCCAAACTCTCATTGAAATGAAAGCAAACACTCAGTGAAGTTTCTAAACCCTGTGGGAGATTCTTCTTGGTTTTCCAGCAAGGGACTTCAGGGGTTTTGGGGTTGATTTTTGCAGTTTGTCAGAGGGGTCATATACCCGTGCTGTGAAGTTTGAGGCTTTCTCTGTCTGACGCAGGCAGGAAAAGCACATGACCAAAAAAGACTTTTGGGGGTGCGGCAGGCGAGTGTATTTCTGACATGAAAAGTGGCTCTTGTGCCTTCGGTGACAAAAAAGGGTCTGTTTGGGGTTTTTGCGAGTCCTTTTCTTACGGACTGTGCTCTGTCGTGAGGAAGAGCAGGCTGCATCTATGCTGGTGGTCGCTGCAGTATGGACACAGCTTCACAAGTTGCAATATTTTGGATTAAGAAAGCCTCCTGGCTGCCTAGCTAAGGAGTTTTGCTAAAGAGGCTTAGCTTGGAATGGGGGCAACGCTCCCTCGTCTGACTGCCGGCTCCGAAGCTGCCAAGACAGCTGGTGTCTGCTGTTCCTGCTGCATCCCTGTGTGAGAGCTGTGTGTCTGTTAGAAGAAGCCGTGCCCTCCGGCACAGGGCAGCTGAGTCCTTTGGGCATCTCCTTTGTGCTTTATTTCGGCAGCCAGCATGGCCAGGGCCCGGTTGAAGGGATGCTGCTACTGCGCAGCCCAGTTCTGCTGCCCAGTTCGGAGCTGCAGAGGTGACACAAGCTTTAAGAGAAGAAAACTGGAAGGAAATGGGGGTCGATCAATACCCTTTGTGTTTGGCTTGACCTTGAGGGCTCGTGGGATGAAGGACCCTGATTATCTCTCTGCTTTTCATCCCTGAAGTGCTCAAAGGCCTTGGGGGTGGGGGGATGGGTCTGTGAACCGAGCCTTTGTGGGTCTGGAATGGGGCTGGGATGTGGGAACGGAGCTGCGGAAAGGAGGGAGCTTTTGAGCCTCAGGCCAAGTGGCAAAGCCACAGTTTTGTCTGCTGCCTTCTGTGCTGCACAAAGGCTCCTCGTGTCCGGCTGCTGGCGTGCGTGGCCGAAGCACTTCGCGTGCCAGCTCTTCTCGGAGGAGAGGCGGCGGCGTTGGGGCGCTGGCTGGGAGCTGAATTTCACAGCCTGTTTGCGTTTCCATCTAGTGAGTCCTGCTCGTGCCCTAGATTGCCAAACTTTGACGTCTGTGCCCGTAGGACAGCTGGAGTCCTCCTGGCAGGCCAGGCCAGAACTGTGCCATCCCAGCAAGAGTTAGCCGTGCCTCGCTAAACACCCATCGCTTCCCTATGTTACAGACGCTTGGGTTTTGTCTCCCAGACCTTGTTGGCACGGGGGAGTGTGGCTGTTCGGGATCCAGGTGCAGGTTTTTGCACCTCAAGCCTGCTTGTCAGTCTTTTGCTGGTTTTGTTCTGCCACTAATGAGGGGTGCTGGTAAGACTGCGGACGCTGTCTCTGTTCACGCTCGGTTGGTTGTGGCCACTAAACTGGCGCTAACTGGAAACCGCCTCCATGCCAGGCGAAGCATCCAGGAGGGGCTGCGTGAGCACCAACTGGCATTGCTGATTCTACATGGGCAAAGTCCTTTTTAGCAACTGGGGTGGAGCAAATGTGGACACGGCCATCTGTCAGGGCAGTGTTTTAGGGAGAACCGCGTGACGTGCGGTGACCATGGCTTGAATGTGGCTAAGAGTGTTCCTGCCTAATCCTAAGCCTTGTCCCTGGTAAAGGCAGGTCTGGAGGAGGGGCGCGCGGTGGCCGTGCTAGCACGCTGCCGGCAACGTTGCTGTGGGCTCTTCGAGGCTTAGCATGCAGAGATCTCATTGCCAGGTTCATCTGGTTGCCGTCTGTGTAACACTAAGCACAGCTCGTCGGACAGCCAGCATTTAATCTGCTCGGGCACATGACGAGCCCCTTAGGTGCCAGAAGTCGTGGCTGCTAAAATCCCCAAGATAGGTGGAAAGAGCAAAATCCATGGCAGTAGGTACGTAAAGGCAGCCGTGCCTCTGGGCATGTGTGTGTCCCAGGGCTGGTAGTGGCCATCCCAGGGCTGGTAGTGGCCGTCCCGTCGTTGTACGTCTCGCAGTGCTCCGTGTGCCCTTCACCAGTCATCCCATGGTCCTGCAGCCCCGGGCTCACAGAATTTGATGTCCTCTGCTGTCAGGCCTTTTGGGAGAGTGAGTTATTGCAGAGTCGTTGGAGTCCTGCCCAGGTGGGCTTTCGTTACACCTTGCAGTGCGTAGTTCAGCGTAGCGTTCAGGAGGTAGCGGGGAGGAGGTCGTTCCTCACCTTACCTGAGAAGCTGGGCGTCCGTCCTGCACGTGTGAGGCGGGATGGAAAAGCAGCTGGATCCCCTCCACCAGAGGAGAACTTGGCCCCCTGGGTGTTGCTCCAAGTGCTTGTCTAGACTGGAGGAATTCGCACAAAGGTACCCAAATAAATCATAGAATCATAGAATCACTTTGGTTGGAAAAGACCTTTAAGATCATCGAGTCCAACCTTTAACTTAACCCTGCCATCCCACCACTAAACCCTGTCCCTAAAAACAACACCCTGTAAACCCTGCGCAGACTTAGCATGACAGCGGGAGCCTTAGCGACCAGCACATGCCCTGGTGGGCACATCCAGAGTCCCCTAAGGCCGACAGAGCCTTTTGCCACCGCTTGCATTTGAGGGCCAGACCTTAGCCTCCCTCCAAAATCAAGAGGTAGGGCCAGGCTCTGAGGTAGACAGCACCTACAGCCCAAGAAAACTGAACGGGCGATGGTTTTGTGGCGCTGGGGCTATATCCAGTACCATCCCGATTCCGGCTCTTCCACTGCATCGCTATGGGGGCTCTGCCTGGCTGCAAAAAGACAGCAGAAGTGGGGCAAGCACCAATTCTGAGAGCCCCAGCCGTGGATCCAGCTCTACCTTCCATTTAACCCCATGCAGAGACCGCTGTAGCTTTTCTGATTCCCCATTCCGTGCCATGGCTTTTCTGTCTGACCTGGTCGGCTGCTGATACCTCCTTGCGTCTCCTGCATCTCGCTGTCACGGTTGCTTTGGCAACAAATTGAGAGAGGCTGGGAGCAACTCAGCAGGGTAAAGAACAAGAAATTCGCCCAGATTTACGAATCTCTCTCTGACCCAGCTCGTGGCAATGGGCTTCCAGCCACGTCTCCCCGGCTCAGGGGGGCTGCTGCTAAGTGCATTTAAAATGCAATTAGCTTGCCTCTCGGAGGTTAGTGTGGCCTTCTGGGGCTAGTGTGGCCTTCTGAGGAAGGAGGCTGCGCTTTGCCGGGGTGAGGGGGCTCTTGGAACAGGCTGATAAAGGCACCCGGCCATATTCCCTTGAGCCTGGAGGGCACCACTGGAGAGGGGAAAGCATTAATGGAAGCATTTCCCCGAACCAGTTTATAGGGTTTGTGAATACCAGGCAATATATTGGTTTGGGTGATTTTTTTTTTCCTTTTTTTCTTTTTTTTAAACTAATTAGATGATAGCGAGTACGGCTGTGCATAGAAAACTGTTTGCTGTAAACCGGAGTTGAGGTCAGAGCCTCATCCAGCTGAGAGGGTCGGTAGCGTAGGAAGCAGAAGGGATGGCAGAGGACGGATTTTTCACCTCCTTTGCTTGAGGTTGGGAAGCAGAACAGGCTGGGAGCATGCGCGGTGCAGAGTCGGTTCTTGGCTGAGTAACCTCGGCCAAGGAGCATCCATCCCTTCCCCTGCTGTAGAACCATGGCCAGCACGAGTGGGGTCTGAGCCAATGGAGGGCATGTGGTGCGGCTGAAAGAGGTAGGCGATGCTCGGGAGGCAGCTGGGCTCTGGAGGCCGGTGCTGGGTTCCCATTCTCTGGTGCTTACAGCCTTGTTTGCCTTCCTTCCTCAGACGAAACGACGAGGTGACGCACATTAAGATCCAGAACACGGGGGATTACTATGACCTCTACGGCGGCGAGAAGTTTGCCACCCTTGCAGAGCTGGTGCAGTACTACACCGAGCAGCAGGGGCTGCTGCGGGAGAAGAACAGCAACGTCATCGAGCTGAAGTACCCCCTCAACTGCCAGGACCCCACCTCGGAGAGGTAAGCCCGGCTCCCAATAGCACTGGCGATGCTGTCTTCCCCGCTGGCTCAGACCTTACGGCTGCACCCGGCCTGGCTTTGGAAAGGAGCCCGGAACAGTGGGTGCTTGGGTGCGATTTAGCTTCTGTGACCCCAAAGCTGCCCACCTCTGGGATGTGGTTCCCTAGCTGCTCTGCAGGCTAACATTGGTGAGGCCCAGAAGCTGATCCTTGCATGGTGTCGGAGTGGGGTGATAAGCTTCCTCTAGCTTTTTGGGCAACTGGGAACATGAGCAGTGTGATTCCATCTGCAAAGGGTCCTGCAGGCGCATCCTAGGAGGTACGCAGCTTTGGTTTTAAAAGAAAGACCTTGGGGGACTGGTTGACAGCCGGCTGAATATGAGCCAGCAGTGTGCCCAGGTGGCCAAAAAGGCCAATGGCATCCTGGCCTGTATCGGGAATGG